CCAGTTGTTTTCTGTTCATATAACCTTGGTACAGAGGTTTAGTTGTGCTCCAGTACCCACCATGCATCCGTGTCATCTTTGCTACCTTTGTTGCAACCAAAACGAGCACCACTTTCAGAATAAAGCATGAATTTGGTGCAGAAGTACAGAGTGTTGTGAAATCCCTGATACATTCATTACGTCCTCTGCTCTCTAGTTAATGGTGGCAGAGAAGAAGGGGACGATTCGCTTTTATGACATGGTCACCCAGCAGGCCATCCTGTCACTGGAGAGCGAACCGCTCATGTCGGCAGACTGGTGCCTCACCAACACGATCAAAGTAGGCGGGGTGTCAGGCAGCGACTGGCTGATCTGGGATATAACTCGATCCAGGTGAGAGAATGTGTGGTGCTGATGTTGCTCGAGGTATTGATTTGGGATGTGTCTAAGTCACGTTTTTGTTGTTTGCAGTTACCCACAAGAAAAAAGACCAGCTCACATCGATAAAGCACGGCTGTTTAGGTGAGGAAAGTTCTGCCATAAGCCTTATTGCTTCGGTTCATACCTGCTCAGGTTTCTCCTTTAAATCTGGTCAGTCTGTGATTCGCTAAAAAATATTTTAATTTTATTAAAATTGAAAGATTTGGAGTTTTCTTTTTGGTCTTTTACAAAGACCTGAATTGGTTGGCATCACAGAAGAAACTTTCATGATTTAACACAAGTCAGTTTCAGGAGGATGATTTTATATTTCAGACAGTAATTCACCAATTGTGTAAAGGCTTTCAGGACATTGTTCTTCTCTCCAGGTGGTCTCGAGCCAATGAAAACCTCTTTGCCACAACGGGATGTCCAGGAAAAATCAACACTCAGCTGATCATCCACCATCTCGGCCACCCGCAGGTCTGTGTGTGCTTTCCATAGTTGTTATGGGTTTTGTTTTTAATTAAATGTAATGTGCTTTCCAACCATCAACTCACGTCACACACCTCATGTCGTTACAGCCGGTGGCGATCGGGTCGGTGACCGTCGGATCAGGCCTCAGTTGGCACCGGACGCTGCCGCTCTGTGTGGTCGGCGGCGACAGGAAGCTTTGCTTTTGGATGACTGAGATGTAGACATCTGTTGTGGAAACCTGCGTCCTGTTTCTGTTTGTGCTCAATAAAATATTTTTCCAAGTATTCGTGCAGTTTGTGTGGAATTTGATGCGAATTGGCTGCATGCTCAAGCTTTGTTCTTCTCATTTCTGACCACCCCTTCAGGTCAGCTACAGATAAACGGCAGGATTGTCTGGTTTATGCCGAGAACTTGTTTTTCATTTCTCAGAGGAATGACTTACATCAGTTGTCTGTTATGTCCTGCCAAGAGAGCCGTAGTTCAAAGGAACGTGTCCGAGTGCCAACTCTACACTTCACCAGTCAACGTTGTCCTCGTACAGGTGTTTTCTCTCCCTCTTGGCTTCTGAATTTGCTTACTATCCACGGCGGACCTTGAATCATATCACGAAAAGTGTAAGCACGGGAAAAGCTCAGGGAGGCTCTCAAGTCTGAGGTCATTTCAGGTTATCTTCAGCTTCAAACTGAGCAGTTTGAGGCTTTAGGAAGAGGAGCAGATGTGCCTCACCTGACCTTGATGAAGACTCGGGATGACTTGGCAGCTGCTCGCAGTAGAACAAAGACTCATTGTACCATCACAGGAATGCCTGCGAGTTTTCAAAGCGGTTGTACGGCCGCTCAACTGCAGCGGGTGCTGGTGTAATTAAACTGATCGTGAATCATTCGAGGTGGCAGGCGATCACTTCAGCTTCCACCTCAAAGCACGAGCTTTATTTCAACGTAAACGTCAGCTCAAACACTGGGTTATATTGGACGCCGACGTCGGTGTGACAGAGCAGGAGCGAGCACCACTCTTTCAAACCAGTCCATCAGCCTCCTATATTTCTTGGACAGGAGGTGCTGACCACCATCCACAAAGCATAACATGCTACTGCTCTCCCGGTCCACTTTTTTTGTTTGAACAAGTCCAATGTGGTCGCAGCTCTCTGGGTTTTGCCGTGCTTTAGGTGCGAGCGGTGTTGGAGCAGCTGCGTATACAAGACCGATTCCAAAAAAAAGTGGAGCGGCTGTGTGAAATGCAAATAAAAACAAAATGATTTGAAAATCATTTAAAGCCTGCGTTAAGCTGAATATTCTGCAAAGCCGACGTATAAAAAGATCGAAGCCGAGTAGTGTCACCTTCCCACTGTGTTGCATCACATCTTACTTTAACAAATTCAGCTGCTCAGCAGTTCGGGCCTCCTTTTGTTATATGTTTGTATCATAACGTGCCAAATATCTTTAATGGAGGACAAGTTTGGACTGGAGACAGGCCAGTTTGGCACTCGGACTCTCAGTGCAGAGCCGTGCTGTCAGAGTACGTGCACAAAGCGGTTCGGCATCATCTCACAAAGTAAGCAAGCCCTGTGATACCCGCACATATCCTTCATTATCTATATCCTGTTCACTAACGGCCTGTGAAACAGTCTGGGCAGTAGCGTTTCTGGATTTTATTCGTGTTTATATTTGCTGGGTTTGCAGAGTTTGTGGATGCAGGGGAGAACTGTGTGCACCAATGATGGTTTTCAGGGGTGTTTCTGAAACCGCTGCAAACATATCAGGTCACATTATTTTGAACTCCAACCCACAAATCAGCTTCTCTGAGACGTTCACTTTTTTATACACGATCATGTTTACCTCATTATTAATAAGATGGATTTTTTTTTCAGATCTTTGAAAAATGTATTTGTACTTAAATTTTTTATTCATTTAACTGTTGTTATTCAGGAAAACGCGACTCTTTTGATGTCATGGCCAATATGACCCAGTAATACACACAAATACTGCAAAATATGAAGTAAATAAAGAGACTTCTGCTTCTTTCTTCAGCTTCTCCCTTTTGTGGTCATGGCAGCAACAGATCATCTGCTTCCATCTCACTCTATCCCCAGGATCCTCTCTCACACCAACCCTCTGCATGTCCTCCTTCACTAAATCTTCTCTGTTGCCTTCCTCCTTTCCTCCTCCCTTGCACCTCCATCTTCAGCATCCTTTGTCCAGCATATCCACCATCCCTCCTATGCACATGTCAGCCTTGCCCCTCTTACTTTGCAAACGGTTCCCTCTGATCTACTAACTCTGTCCATTCTGATCACTCCCAATGAAGATCTTAACATCTAAAGCTTGGCCTCTTGTCTTTTTATCAGTGCCACCGTCTCCAAAAGGCACATCGTAGCAGGTGTCACTACTATCTTGTGAACCTTGTCTTTCTGTCACAAATCACTCAACCCTGCCTGGACTCTTCCCCTCCCCACTCGTACGCTTTCACTTCCATCTTCATCATCACAAATGCCTCCCTCTCATTTCAGGCACCCAGAGCATGAGAAAAAGTTGTCACAGTCGTCTTGGACCAAACGGGAGGTAGCAATGCTCAGGCGTCTACATTTACAGCCTAAAATAAGGGTCCCAGATGTTTTAAAATTACTTCAAGGCCATTTAGTGAGACGGTGCATACGATTTAGTGGATTTTTTTAAATTAAGTTTGAAGCCTTTCTTTCCAATTCAGTGCTGGCTTCTTTTTGAAAGGAACTGACTTCCTTTACTCATGTCACATATGTAAGTCAGTACCAGACCGAGAGTAGTCCTGTAAAGAAGGATAAACTAGTGGTTTAAGACGCCCTTTCATGTGTGCACATTCCGCCTGCTGCAATCACAAACACGAGTCATAATCCTGAGCGGGTTTACAAATCCTGTGACTCAAGGTCGCCATCTGATGGCTGCCTGACAGAACAGCAGGGAGGCTTAATCTTGTTCTCTAGCTGTGTGGACTTCTCTTTGCTGAAAGTAGTCCTCAGATGTCACTCAGATGACCCCGGCGTTACCTTTTGATGTAACCTGAATGAAGCTTGATCTCTTGCGGTGGCGGTGCTGTGTGGACTAATAACAAACTGTGAAACGGATGAAAGCGAGATCAGGCCGTCTTCAAATCTTCACAAACTTCTTTCTAATCTCCCGCCCTCAGATAATTCTTCTGCGGCCCTGCCAACTTTAAGCCGGGGGCTCAACACAAAGAGAGCAAAATAAAAATAATGAGGAGCATGATAGGGCAGGAAACAAAGAGAGAGATTAGAGCTCTTTGAGGCTGGTGTTTGATTTAATCTTGTGGTTGGCCTGGTTTGTTTGCGATGCTTTCCCAGAATGAAGCGATTATGCTGATCTTGATGGAGTAAGGAGAAAGAGTCAGTGAAAAAGGGTCCCATCACTGCTTTAGGGTGGTGTTGGCTCATCATCAAGTATTGATGCAGCCAGTATGCACTTTATGGAAGCTGTGTGTCAACGGTTTAGCCTTTTATAAGGTCTATATTGTACCTGCACCCGATTTAAAGTTTTATGAGCACGTTTGAACGAAAGAGCAAACTCAGCTGGGTGCTTTTGCACTTCTGAATTGACTCACTGAACCTTGACATCTCATCATCTGAAATCAAACAAAAAAAAACTGTTGATGAAACGTTTCTGTCCTGATGGGAGTGGTCTCTTCAAAGCCTGAATAAAGGACAACGGAAACAGAAGTGGCACTGAGAGGTTAGATGGTTGACTGTCAAAGGCCCGGGAATACTTAAAACCACCTACCCAACCACTGGCATCAGCTGGACCCTTAGCTTGGTAGCATCATTTGCTGGGAGGAGTTAACTATGTGGGTATGAATGGTTGTCATCTGTCTGTGTTAGCCCTGCTTCACATCGATGACCTGTCCAGAGTGAACCCTGCCTCTCGCTGTAGCTGGGGTAGCCCACCCATGACCCTAATAAGGATAAGTGGAAGAGAAAGGAAGGATGGATGGATAAACCAAACAGAAAAACTGGGACGCCTCTGGCTGTTCATCATCTAATAATGAGTAAGTAATTTATTACATCTGATCTTAGTCATTAATTTAATTGTTCTGAAAATCCATATATTTGGATCCAACTGGGCTGTATTTGAAATAATATGACTTTGACTTTGAGAATCGGTGCCAGCAGCCTCTGGAGCTGCTGTGCCAGGTTGTAAATGTGCTTTTTAATTCTGCTTAGTTAGATATTTTAACACAGGACAAAAAGTTAATACCATGCAGTAGTTGCATATTGCTGCTCTGGAGCTGGAAAGACAAATTCAACTGACTGCCTGAGATCACACTGAACTTTCCTTCTCCATCATAAATTTACCATAAGCTGGAGTCCTGGTCTTCCAGGTAAGTCCAGCCAATCACCGATGAATGTCTTATTTCCTTACTTCTGTTCTGTCTCTTGTTCTCTCTGTTTAACTTCAGCGTCAGTGAAGCTGCTGTAAAAACCACACTTCTCTAAAGTTGACTTTGTTAGAATTCCAGATGTTGCAGATGCTTCCAGGGCTTCACCTAATGATGGCTGGCAGATGTTTGTCTGTGTTTAACATATTAACAAACTGAAGTGAACAAAAAAGGAACCGCTAATCAGCTTCAGAAGTGTGTTGTTTTGCTTTGCCTTCCCGCACCTGACTTCAGCTCTTCACGCACAAGTATAGTATTGTCACTCAGATAAAATGTCTCTTAAAATGTTTAACTATTCCTTTTATCTATCTAGTTATCTATAAGGCTTCCCCAAGTGATTCTTAAGAGTATTTAATTCATGAAAAACTCTTACAACACCTTGTGGCTGCGGCAGTGCTAGGGGCACGTCCAAATGTGGGATTTTGTGAGACACATAGATTATAACTGATAAGTGAATGTCATTTTACTACTTGAGTACACATCATAGACCATGACTAATAGTGATGAGAAAATGTGAAATGGGGGGGCAGTCTTCTGTGTAGACGACATACCACTTGAAGAAAAGAGAAGAAACCTGCTACAACCTAGAGGACCCTCATCATCAGGTTACCCTTTTAGTTACTGTGCCCCAAAGTTTGTACCTTATGTAATGTGACTGGTCTTGAACCTCTAGTGACAAGTTTGTATAGATATGTATTTTACTAATACTGTCCACTATGACACGAGCTCCTAGATCCATGTTTAGAATCACCAGTTAACCTATCCATGTCTTTATAGAAGAAGAAGAAGAAGAAGAGTATCTGAAAGGTATATCCTCAAGAAAAAGGAAAAAAGATCGGAGAGATGTGGGATTTTGTGAGAC